ATAATCCAGAGCTGTCATTGAGGATCACAGCATACCATGGTACAGTATAAGCCTATACATTGCATCAGAACTGCATTTTATGGCGGTCAACTACAAGTATCAGGGGTCTCCCCAGGGGTTCTAGATGTGTTCTAGCGCTTCTGCACCTCCATCTCTGGACAGGCTCCGCGGCGGTAATTGCATCTTCTTATAGACGAACGGGGCATGTTGCACATATAAATACGCAATAAAGGCTCACTACAATAAAGCACAAGATTACAAAAATCTACATATAAGTGGTAGTAGAGCAGGAGCCAGCTTGTGATCCTTCACCTTGCGAAACGATGACTACAGGATTACATTGTCTGGCTGAACCTAGCTTATGTCGAAGTGCCTAGCGTATTGGCGTGGGAAGGGTCAGAGCGGGAAATATTGTGCCAAGATGGGGGCGTACCTAGATCCAGAATATGACCACCATTCCTTCGTGCAGTGATAGTGAAGACGACTCTATGGCTTTGGAATAGCTACTACTTCGGAACATAGGTACAGTAGGAATAAAGCATATTAGGGTAGCATTTGGTCAATGTCATCCTCGAAAGACGGCCACATTAACTGCGACCTACCTACCTACCTACTGCAGTACTTGATGAACTGGTTGGTCTCACCAATCAGACGGACTGACGCACAGTCGTTAGACTGCAGCCACACGCATCCTAATCAACGATTACCCGTTTCCACGTCGTTTCCATGGCATACGTGGGGGAACTACTGCAGGTTATGTGTCACCGCAGTGGCAACATCTACTTTGCAGAGGAACTATTGGGCAGAAACATTCCTGCATCATTTCACTTCCTCCTACCTACAGTGGCACCTTGGCTCTATGGGCATTGCTAAAAGCCCTTCATCGCGGGAAATGGCGAGAATATAGTATAGTGTCCACGAGATAGATCGTACACTATATACTGGAGTGTAGACACTAGTTTAGACGGTCGTTAGGACAGAGTAGTCGTGTTTTCGTAATGCCTTTCTCTCTCCTTTCTACGCTACTTGGAGTCTAGTGGACCTACATAGTAGAGCGGCTGAAATAAGCGTCGGTGCTCGGTGCATACCCAGTTGGTGTCAAACCTGTAACCTGTGACACTACTCATGAGCCCGGGTTTCAGCAGAATTTCTTTATCTACGCCGACTTCCAAAAGTTGTTCACGGGTTGTCGGGTGCTTCGGTTGCCCGCCCGCAGAAGAATCTGTATACTATGTAGGGGCCAAGAAGCCACTTTAGTATTCTCCGATTTGGCCGATACTACGTGTTGTAATAGAAACTACGCACCGTTATTGTGCTTAGTCTGTACCGCTTCGCGACACAACATGATAGGTTAGGTCACAGGACCTAAAGGTCCTGTTTGGATGCGTATCAAAGCTCGTTCAGTATGCTGTAACCAGTATATACCAGTCTAGGTCCCTGAAAACCCCTGAACCTGGCCGACGTGATGTTTCCAGGTTTCCCAGCTGCCGGGCTCAAATCTTTGTTCAGGGGGGACATGCAGCAGGGCATGACCCTCCAAGTCGGCCCTGTCAATAATATAGGAGAATAATACACGTAAGTAGCTGCCATACCTCCCTACTATAGAGTCACTATAATGGGTAGGTCATTCGGATTCCCTCTGCTTTGAGTTTAGAGTAATCCGAGTATAGCAAGATGCTTATACAGTTCCCTCCACTTTATTCTGTTATAGGTCTAGTCATGTAAGCCTTTTTTATTCCCTATACTACACTAGCATCTTTCTCCATATTTCATCGTGGGCCGGATGGCGTTCTCAGGAGTCGCAGTAGCATACATCGATCCCATCACCACCCGACAGCGCCCTAGTTTTCCAGATGCGCAATCACGCTCCAGCACATTACCGTGAGAGACCTACTAATTGGCCGCTCAAATAGGGTACTTGATACCTAGTACTACCCCGTCTACTTGTACATTAGGGTATTTAAATTAATTATGTGAATGTACAAGGATCAGTCGACTGTCAACGGGCAAGCCTTGCGGTCGGCGTAATAGACGACTAGCTTGACTACTCCTCTACTTCATACTGTACATCTCACTCTCTCTCTCTCTTTTCTCCCTTTCCACGCCACATCTTGCTGCCAGGCGGTTGGCCACTTCTCTTTCTGTTTTCGCGGTTTTATGAGACACTGGTCAGGACGAATTGGGTTTACTCTTGCAGCTGTTTCATACTCTCGAAGAGCAGCAGTAAGAACAGCAGCGCGGGTTATCGTTTTTCTACGCTTGCCTTGTCTCGGGATTCTCTAGATCAGCTCCAAGAATAGCTGACCTTCGCACCCACCATTGACTCTCAGTATGACGTTTTGACAACAGTCTCAAAGAGTTCGGCTTCTTGCTTCTGAGTAATGTTCAGCTGTGCGCCATCGTACCTATACACCGAGGGCCAACCCTGAACGATTTGCGCAACTCACGCAGCAACTAAACAAATAGTTATCCACACTCACCATCAACTATTTTCCTGATGGAGGACATTCTTCTCATGCCCCCGGATCGGGGTACGATCCTTGGACGGCCTGTTTGGAAGGTATTTAGTCACTGTCTCACTGCACACTAATCTTTCTTTGTTGGAATGCTTACAAACCCTGTTCTTAGCCACGCTATGTAGTCTTTGGCCCGTTGTCGCAAAGGGAAGGGCAGCAGCAGAATCTCTCGCTTTCACAGGTTTTGTCCAATGCTCGCATGAGAGATGCGGGCGGTTGGTCTTCGAGACAACCGCTGAAAGGACCAATGGACGGTATCTATCTCTCAGTCTACAAGTCAAAGGTGCGCTCTTGGTGGGTTGAATATCAGGACCGCATTCACTAACATACCGATAGGAGGATACCGAACCCATTCATCAGCATTCGATTGCATCGATAACAGATTGTCAGGTGCAACAGGTTGCTCATCGGAAGCAGGGCCATATTCCTACTCTTACTATTCAGATATCCCCCGATCCGGCAACCGACAAGCTGCGAAAGCGTCGATCGAGTCGGTCTGGAGGATTGATGTCGACTAAGGATTCGGGCCCACAAACGCTCTTGTTTCTCACGGCTGAGGGGTCGCAGTATCGCTTGGACGACTGGGCGAGGTACATCCAGTTGCTTGTGCAGCGACACCAAGCTATGCCTATCAGCCCAATCAGCCCAACATCGCCGGCCTTTATAAGTCCTTTCCCTTCGATCCCGGATGCCCCCGAAAAGTCTTCGCCGGTGTCTAACGCGAAGGGGAAATTGAGATCGAAGTTGCAACCAAAATCGTCAGGCAGAACCCTACCTTCGAGCCGCGACCAAAGCTCAGTATATACTCCCGGCTCCCCTAGCCTTCGGTCTCGTAAGAGCGATCTGTCTTCTCAAGCCAGCTCCATGGTGCCAGCGGCTATGAATTTCGTACAGCAGCATTATGCCAGCCTACAGCACTCTGAACTGCCTTCGCCAACTTCAACTGTAGATGAATCTCCAGAGCATATGATGGAAGGGTGGACAATGGCGCAAGGACGTGCCTCAACCGTGAGCTCTCCTGTCATGGGACGGGCGAGCATAAGCTCTTCCCAGAGCCCTACTCAACCCAACTTAGAGTCAAGCCCACCTATGGCACCCCGTCAGACCATTTTGGACCGGGCTTTTCAGATGCGATGCATTCCGGGCTCCGAGCGAGAGATCGCGGGAGAGGAAAAACTCACTTCTTTGGCGAGGTTTGAGGCACTGATGCGTGAAACAGAAACTCGCCAGAAAAATACGAGGGGAAAAGAGGTGAAGCAAGAGCCGTTAAGGAGCACATGGGAAGAAGATGACAGTGATGAGGATGAGTTTGATAGGGAGGTTGATGATGAAGATGATGACGATAGTGACGATTATGCTTTTGAATATGACGACCCTGATGGGATGGACGCGTCAACATTTAAAGCGCTTCGATTTATCACCAACCGGCATAACTCAACATACAGCGATTCTGGGTTGAGAAATGCGCCATCGGTTCTGCGGCCGCATACGTCGCATTCACGAAGCCGGCCAACAGCTCAACGGACAAGTAGCCAGCCCTACATTCCTGGTCCACCGTTGCATATTCCATCGTCTCCCCCGTCGAGACAGCCAGAAGGCCTTGCGATGCGGCGGTCTCATGAGAAACGACATTCGACTTCTGATGTGAAAAACCTGAGTTTCAATGATTTCGCGAAACGATTGAGTGGTACGAGCAGTTTACTGATACAATCAAACGCGAGTACGGGTAGCCGTGGGAGCGGCGATTACGACTCACATACGCCTCGTGGATCTATGAGTCCCCGAGGGACCAGCCAGACTTCTGACGAGCGCTGTCGGTGGCGAGGCAGCATCGGGGTACTTGGGAACGAGGGCGGATTTTTATGATTGACCAACCAACCCCGTATGCACGATTTTTCTACGCATTTCCTTCGGCACTTTGAGGCTTCCGACTGTATTAGTTACTACTTGACCCCTACCGCCCATTCTCTATGACCTTACGATAATCGACAAATGGGCCCAGCGCTATGCGATATTAGACGCCATTACGTGTCACAAAATTTTACGATTTTACAGCTTACGACACTATGCTGATACCCTTTTTAAAGATTTTTTTACCTGACTATTCGAGAAACATGACTGGAATTACTGAACAGAAGGTTTAAAAATGAATTGTCATGTTTGCAGAAGCTATGAGCTGGGCAAATTCATTTAGAGAGCCCTAGCGATGAACTTCCCTCGTTCTTTTTGTAGTAGACTTGAATACTTATTATTTGCATATTTGATGTTAGAAAGAGAGCAGAATGATGTGGACAACGTTGAGAGTTTTTCTACAGAGACATAAGAGATACCCTTCCTTAGCAGCAATCAATAAAACCTCTCCATCGGCGATATTACTGTGCCTATGCCGGGATAGTGTCTGCGCTTATACTTTCAAATGTCCTTTGACTTGTAAAAAAAAAGAAAAAAAAAAAACATGACCAACGCAGTAAACTGCAAAAGTAATGGACGAACGGGGATTTGAACCCCGGACCCTTTGCAAGCACAAGAGATCTGAATCCTTTGAATGATGACAGATTTATATGCAAAGCAAATATCATACCCCTAGACCATTCGCCCGACAATGTTGCATCGATCACGGGACTCGAACCCGCAACCCCAGACTTAGGAGGTCTGTACGCTACCATTGCGCCAAATCGACAGTCGAGAACTGCTGCCATTTATTGGACATTATCAACCAGCGATCGGAGCTTCTAGAAACAAGCCGCATCGGTCCTATCGAGTCTGCCACTTAGATATCGAGAGGAACTGAACGAGGTATAATACAAATGGTTCTATATTTCGAGCTTTGAGCGCTGTAAGAGCCGTCCTGCTGTGGATGCTTGAGTCGAATGGATTCACCAACTCGCAGAGCATCTGAATCTATATAGCACGATCTTCATCCATATTAGAAAAACGTCTCAAGGTAACGCGTGGATTGATCTAGTGAACATTTCACGAGCCTCACTACCAGTATTATGTTTATGACTCAGGCTAACATCTTGAACTACTAAGTGCTTAGCGTAGTAAGTTCACTTCGGCAAAATCGGGGAGTAACGCGTTCACCGAATATTCTGCACGGCACTTCAGTGCAAACAGTTTCTGACTCCTATTGAACCCTAGCACCGGCTTCAACCCCCAAGTTAACTATCGCTTACTCGCATGTTAGTGCTCACCACATCTCATCCTTTCCGATAATGCAAGTAGGATAAATCACGGGTAGTAGTAATTAAGCGTGAACGAAACGACATGTATAATCGTCTGCGATAGTACATAATTATCTATAACTGAACTTCAGGACGAAACAAGTGAAGGACGTCGTTACACTAAATGTCGCATCGGATCCTATCCTGTTCTCAATGACAAGAATACTGCACTCAGTGTCTAAATATTTGCCATGGCAGATCGCAGTGGCTTAACACGTGATACACGACCACCCGGCTGATGGTGACGTGCGGGGAGAACTCACGACTCTATTATGAGGGAAAGGGTGAAAAGAGGGTAATAGAACCTTATTGAGTGAGCCAACCGCACATTTATCACAGTAGCGTACCCGTTACTACACAGCCTATCCAATATGAAAAGGGGCGATGACACGCACTTCGCAGAGAGTCTAATTGCTTCCTATGCAGACATAATATATACAAACTTCGCAAGTCAAACCTAAGATCGTTGCTACATTCCTGTAATTAGACATATAATCTATTCCCGAGCTCTCGATTGACACGCTGAAATGTGCGTTACATCGGTAATAACTATAAGATTGCGGTGCCTCTACTGGGCGGAAACGAGGGCTAAACCCACGTTCAGTCGCTCTCAAGATCTATATATGTGAATAACACTAACAACTTCCTCACTGTTGCTGCTGCTATCATATTACCCCTATGTTAGACTAGCTTGCCTCTATCCCCTCATCTAAGCCCCAAAAAGCTCTGTCCCAGTTCCTCAGACATATGAAAAGAAACATACGATAAAGAACCTAGTCCTCTGTTTGATACAAGCAGAACTCAGGCGGCTCGGTTCCACCCACCTGAAGTATGTAAGTCACTCTCCTAACCCTCCTATATATAGGAGGGCTAGGAAGGAGTGTTGGAGCGTTCTTCGCTCGTGATTGTCTAGCCAACGATACCCCGGGAGTCACGGGCGCGAACATGGTTGAGATGCTCCCTTGAATCTATACCGCTGTCAATAAAGAAGGCAGGCATGTCGTATAAATCATTCGAACGACTAATATGTGCTCCGAGTCGGATTGGCAGACACATAATACTCCTTCACAGTAGATGGTTCAGCTTCGATACAGCTCATAAGAAAAGCATAGCAGAGCAGAGCTACGCATACCGCTTTCCAACACAGAAACATGCCAAAAAAAAAAAAATTATTGCTCCTCCACCTAAGCTCTTTAATCACTGAATTTGTTCGTTGAATTGGTGTCGACCTCAAATTGCTTGATGTTGTACGTCTATAGAGTTTGGGGTTGGGGTTTTCTTTTCCCTTTCCTCTTTTCCTTTCGATTTCCGGTACTAGCTTAACACAGAGAGCATTCTGGCATTGCACTCATGCTCACTTATAGAGTGGATAGACAGACAGGCATATCATAAAGCAATATCAGATACTCTAATAGTAAGTTAACCTAGGTAGGTAGGTAGATTCGCAAGAGCAGGTACAATAAGACAGGACGACTGTTGTCCTGAACGATAGAGCTTGAATTACGCTATGCATCGAGGACGAACATCATTCGGTTCTGAGTATTCGACATAGCTAGTACAGATTCAAACAAGGGAACTAGCCTACTAGACTAATCCAACTCCTTTACGTAAATAAGAGTCTTCGGCCTCCCATATTACACACAACGAATTGGAACAAGACAAACTGTAATAAAACCAGATGGGAGTATGTTCACACTCGAGGCGTAATATGATATGAAAGTTGCCTGCTAACCATCTACCCGCCCCCAACACCAACTAGCAAACAAGCCAAACCAAGCCCAGGGCTCCTGATGCAATATAGTATCTATGTGCTAATGTCGTAAAAACCCAGGAAGCAGTAGAAGAATGCTCCCGCTGTGACTAAAACAGTGACTGGTTAAAACTGTTTTTTTTCTTCAAAGACACCTGAAACTCCGTCTCTCATGTTTATGGCTACAATGTGTCTTGCTAGCCGGGTATTCTTAACAACAGACTGGTAGTATTCCCTAAACCTGATAATTGATTCGAATTCCTGGTCGAGGGGTCATCTTTTTGACCCCTCATAACTCTGATCATCTTAAGCCTCCAGCGCCCACAAACTCCTGGTCCATTTTCGGTCAAGGAAAAACCAGTCAATCTCAATTACCCCTCCGCCTTTGTATAGCACTAGTATCGCTTCGGCTTCTATCCCTACCAGCGCCTTGGCGTACAGCGTCGCTATAACTGGGAATGGGAGGATTGTGTGGTCGGAGAGCGGCGGCGGAAGCCCCACGACTCCGTGCTGGGGTCCTGATTAATGGCGCAACATCGCTCTCGGAACCGCTGCCAGAGGCATCCTCATCGGAATGCTCGGGACTGGTGTAGTCAGGTGGTGGATGTGACGCCTCGTGCATGCCTAAACCAGTGATGTTGATCACATGATCTCCAGACGGCCCGAAGCCGTGACCGGCTGCGCTCCCCTCGCCCGGCTCGTCCGTGGGAACTAACTGCGCCAGAGAAATATCCGTAGGGCTTCTCTGTGGCCCGGGGCTGGTGGGTGGGAGGACTCGATAACTGCCGCTGCGCGTTCGTGCGTGGCTCGAGTCTTGTATCGGACCTCGGCTGCTATATGCTTGGTACGATTGTGAATAGGAATGCGTTCGTGATGGCGATCCTGGAGTCTCGTCCTTCCTACGACCGGACTCCAGTAGGATGCTACCTTGTTCGCTTCCATAAGGGGGAGGTGGCGCCAAACTGCCAGTCATCGGCGCGAGCCCCCATTTCTTTACGTTGGCTTCAATGAAGACGAAGCCAGCCTGTCCAAAATTGACGTGAACGATACATGGACCATTCGCACCGACCGAAGGGAAGAAGTTCTGCGACTTCAGGCCATGGACAACATCATCTAACCGTCTACCGTTACGAGTGAAGAAAATAGTACCAGTTCGTGGACGATATCCCACGCCAATTACGTCGCCCTGAACAATTGGGGGTCCGTACGGCGTTGGTGTAAAAGGTTGGTTGAATCTCCGCGCGCCTATAGATGTATAGGCAACAGAGTGCTTGTGGTATCCTAAAGGCGGTGTTAGTGGGGAATACGTCGAGCGGATGTATGAGGTATGTACCTGGAAGCCGAAACAGTGGATAGGGTTTCGTAGACATTCCGATACTTAATAACGAAGCTTCGGGCTTTTCGTATATTTTCGCCTCCCAGTAATATACTTCGTTTTGCTTTGGTACGGGCAGATTGCTCATGACCGTACACTCCGAGTCGAAGAATTCAATCTCGGTCCTGGCCTCGACAAAGCAGTTGGCAATTTCTAACTCTGGCTCAAACTCCCATGCTGACACGCCCTTTTCTTGAATAGCTAAATATTGAGATAATGAAATGTCCGTCTGGACCGACTCGGGTGGATTTCCTTGTATAAATGCTAGGGGAGGGTTAGTTGAGAGAAGAGCACGGGGCTGAGGGGAATAATCCCGTATCTCTCAGTCGCGGAGTCGGCGAGGGGGGCAAGCCTACCTTTTGCTCTAAGATATTCTGTCCTCTGCATATCGTCCATCGTTTCCAAGGCCTCGGCCTCTTCCCTCGCAAACGCCTGCTCATCGTCATATTCGCCCGGGCGACCGATGCGGTCAAGGAAGATGCGACCCGATGCGGTGTGGCGAAAGAAGTAGATGACGAGGAAGATGACAGCCACGATGACGGCAGAGCCAAAGGACGACAGCAGCCCAATGACGATGCCGTCTAGAGGAGTCGTCATGTTGGGCGTGTTTGCGATAGTTGGTGTGTTAATAGTGAAACGAAATAACAAGATCCAAGGACTGGGACGTTTCCGTCACCGCTTCGCCACAGTCATTCGGCCAGGGTCATTCGGCCGCGGAGTCGTTGAGGGCAGACACTCGGATGCTGCAGATAAACTCGGATGCTGCAGATAAGGAACAAATAGCCGCCCAAGGTATGCAAAAGGTGTGAATTAAGGCGTAATCGTTATCGTAATCGAACGTCGAAGTAAATAAATTGATTGAAGACACAAGAGGGAGGTTGGTTGGCGGGATAGCCGGGATGATGTAGGACGAGAGCGGCTGTTAGTCGCCGTAAACGTCGTGGTCGCACGCCCTCAATCGATGGCTCTACGGAAGCGTGGGCGTGGAATGTGGCGGCGATAGGGCGAGTCGAGACAACTGCGCTACTGGGATGGTTCGAATGGTCGAGGTCTAGGCGGGTTCGCGGAACGCACCGGGTCGGACGGGAGGATATAAAGGAAAAAGGATCAAGAAGATACAGAGAAGGCAATGGAAATGGGCGGGGAAAAGCGAATGATGTCGCTGCCTGCTGTTGGAAAACGATTTGGTTTAGGTCCAGGGAAGATAGCAAGCCAGCTTGGATGAGGAATGGGTGATGAAGAAGAGGGT